GATCGCTTATGTTAATTTCCAAAATGATCGGCTCGCTGAAGCTGTCTTTCAAAAATAGCTTGCGATACAAAGCTTATGAATCCGGCACGACATTTAGTGATTGCAAGGGGAAGTTTCTCAGTTCTCTGTCACAGACTCTTTAAAGGTCACACCCATATAGATTGTATCTCGTCTGCGCGTTGGTGAAATATACTGAGGACAGCGATCGACGTTCCGGCCGGTGCTTCGCGGTATTTCTTCAACGTACTCAGTTGGCTGAGGTTGTTTCTGTTGTAACGTCTGGAGCCAGAAGGCGGGGTTTTGGTCCTTGCTGCTAGCTAAGTGGTTTTTGGCAGCAGGCAGGAAAGGCTCACCCAATCAGCGCAAAGCATGTATCCTTTGTCAAGGTAGGCACTGTCGTATGATGGATGATTATTGCATTATTGACACACCTACTCAGAGAGTATCTTCCTTAAATGATACCGGTGCACTGTGGCCATCACCGTTGTTATTCCAAAGTCGCATGGAGCATAATCCCGGAGGTCTTTCTGCACTGTTCTTTGACTTTGCCGGAGCGAGGCTTTCTTGCAGGGTGCTCCGTTACCGCACGTGGTCCGTGCTATATATTCGCGATCACCCGTCTTCTCCAACACAACAGGTGGCGATGTACCCGATTTCTAATCATTCATTTTTCCGTAGTTACATGATGGTTTAAAATACCAGCCAAAAGAATTTTTATTCGCAGAGTTACCTACTAAGTACTCAGTTCATTAGAACTTTTATATTCTACGTTAATATTATATTTAGTGCAAAGTATCCAACGTAATTAATGTCAAGGAAAAAATAAGCTAGACTTTTTATTTAGAGTATTATTTTTGAAATTATTCACGTTAGAAGTCGATAGAAAATAGCCTAGTGTAGACGGTTTATGACATTATTAAAGAATTTATCAGGAAAATTACTGTCATCTTATAGAGTTAATTCAATATACATTATTTCATTTTTTTAAATTAATTGCTAGAGACTTGCAGAGCTCGGTCATTTAATGCTGTAAGCCCGTTCTCTAACTTGTCCTCTTTAAATGCCAGTTAACGTTTCTCCAATATTCTCCATTTTCATCTTTCTTCCTCCACCGCCGATATTCCTTGTTCTGGATCATGATCGATGATGGGCCACCCTGGTCGAAAAGCGGCCTGTTCTAAACGTGTGACTAGTTCGATGTTCTGTCAATTACAGTGGCTAACGATGAGGGAAAAGGCATGGTTTGATTTGCCATAAAGGTGTACTTGCTCCATAGTTCCCGAGGTCCTCAGACTTACCTCTCTTAATGAGATGAATCGTCACTTCAGGAGTCTTATTTTGCCTGTCGTTCGGCAAGTGCTTTAAACAGGATTGCTTCTTCAACTATAACGTGTTCCGGTCATATGTCGTCTTTGCCTGGACATTTGCCATTATTAATGTTCTTGACTGCCCACTCATCTCCTACCTCCGCCATAAAACTGTGGTGCAGGTTGTGGCAATTTCCGATTCACACTCACTTGTAAGGTCACAGGTCGGGATAGAATTTAGTGCAGATAGCGATCATTCGTTTGCGATTAGTAGTTCTTGCCCCTCCTTCGTCTTTTAGCGCACTCGAAACTCGCTGCTTTAGGCCAATATCCCGTTCGACAGCTTCAGACATTTCTTCCTCTCAGGCCTCTCCTATTCGCATTCTCCTGTAACCTTCGTAGTTCTCCCTCAGCTACTTCCGTATCTCTTTGCACCCTATGCAGTGTATATATCATCCTTTTAGCCTTTTTCTGGACTTTTTAGCCGTTAAGTGCCTTGTTAAAAGGATAATGTGTTATTTCCTCGTCGATTTTGCTGCCTGGCTTGACGTTAATGGAATTGAAAGATGATTATAATAATTCTAATCTATGCTTTCACGGATATTCGTCTTAGGGTTCACTAATGGAGGCTTCTCTACGAAAGGCTTCAGATCTAAGTGCAGTTTCTCACTAAGTGGTAGCCTATGGTTTCTTTTGATCTGTTACTTTTTAACAAAAAAGATTGCCACTAAAAGCCTGTGGTCTGACCCTGAGCAGATGATGTGACCGTTTATCAGTGAAACGTCTAGCATTATTCGCTTCTTGTCAATACACTGTTGATTTTGTTCACAAACTTTTCGTCTTGGCTTTTTCCCGTCCTCTGTCTGTTAGAGCAGTCTAGAAAATGGCGTTAATGCCCGGGAGATGTCTGCTATCAGCAAAAGTTGTAAAGCAATTTCAACCCTCCAAATTTTTGCATCTTCCTTATTTGCCAGTGGATACCTCAATTTCGTTCGTTGAAATTTCCTTGCATGTAATCTGTTCCCCGTGCATGATCTCTTCTTCGTCAACTTGCTGAGTTGGGCTGGAAGCTTAAGTTATTTTTATTGTTCTTATTTTGTCCATCTATAGAAGTAGGATTACTGTATGAGGCTATGTGCCATTGCACTTCAGTACAAATGGCACAGAGTATCCAACGCCGCTGGTATGAGCTCGCTTCCCAAAGGCCCTCCAGAGGAACATTTGCTCTCCCTTATTCCATTGTGCAGCAGATTCTATCGATTTCGCGTTTTCCAATGACATCCCCCTTAATCTTCGCCTTTTCCGTGATTTACATGTTGATAACTATATCCGTCGATGGCGTTCTTGCGTCGATGGAGATCATTATGACGTTCCGGTTGCGTCCACCAATCGCATGCGGAGGTTGACTGAGTCGTGGGAGTTGCTAAGGTCGACGCGGTACCTTGTACATATTTTTCTGGCTTCCATTCATCTCTGAGCGTTTTTGGTGACTCACTGCTTGGCAGTTAATTATGGATGCCAACCCTCGTAGATTAATGTACACCAGAACTGCCGAGAGCTTCATCCAGCCCAACCTCTTCAGAGAGGTGGAACACTTTGTGAGGTGTTGTTCTCTGAACGCGGTAATTGCCGAGTGACAGTTACTACCACCACCGAAACTTGCAGAAGTTGGCTGTCGCACCACGTACATACCCTTACGTACCAGTTTTAATAACAGATTTTCTAGTATTTATACGATTATGCAAATGAACGTTTAGATAATTATCAGTGATAGTAGATTAACGAAAAGTTTTAGTCCAATGACAATTACCAGAGTTAATTATTTAGACGTCCAGAAAAGGAAGATTACGAATGTTTTCTTCCATGGTTTACTCAATAGAAGGAAGAAGGTGCTTGAAGAAAGAGGTCACTTAAAGGGGTTAGCACCTTCTTTAAATCATCACTGCAGCAGATGACGAAAGCA